CTGGTTAAAGAGACTGGACACAGGCAGACCTGACTCTCCAGAGAGGACAGGTTCAGTGACCACAGTCTGGTTATAGACACTGGACACAGGCAGACCTGACTGTCCACAGAGGACAGGCTCAGTGACCACAGTCTGGTTAAAGACACTTGACACAGGCAGACCTGACTGTCCAGAGAGGACGGGCTCTGTGACCTCAGCCTGGAGACAGACACTGGGCAACATGGACAGACCTGACTTTCCAGAGAGGACAGGCTTAGTGCCCAGAGCCTGGACACAGACACTGGGCAACATGGTGACTGAGAGAGGACAGGCTGTGCTTCCAATGCCAGCAGGAAGAAGCGGAGCCAGAGATCCACTTTCTACTGCACTGTGAGAAATACTCTGGGATTTCCTAAAAATATACCTAATCAATCCCAGAATTCCCAGACTTGCTGGAATTGGGTCAGTTATCAATCCCACTGAGGTTGGGAACTAAATAGAATTGCAGCCTAGTATGTGATCTCCTGTCACAGCCGGAGAGCCAGAGAGTGAGCCTCCCAGATAGTAGTATGTTCGTGTTCTAAATGTTTGAACATATTTGCTAACTGTTATTGCTGTGGTGGCAGTGTAAGTCATCAGTCATGGTGATAGAGCTTTGGATTTGAATTCGATTGGGTGGACTGTGAGAATATAATAGAAGTACAGACAGGGAAGTGAAGGATGGGGATGGGGGTGCTCTGTTGTTACTGTGAAGAATTAAAAAGACTTCAATTCAAGGACGAGGTCTCCTCCGAGAGCCTTGATTGTTACTGTTGAGGCCTTGAGCAGGAGCTGGAAAAGGAAGGGTGAAGATGGCACTGCTGGAATTCTTCTCGTTCCTTCTCTCCCCTCCCTTCATTTTCCCTCTCTCTCTCTCCCTCCCTTTTTTCCTTATCCTGTCTCTCCCCCACCCCTTGTCCACCCCTCCTCCCTCTCCCAGTATATCCAGCAGAATATCCGTTCGGACTGCTCCAACATCGACAAGATCCTAGAGCCTCCCGAGGGACAGGATGAGGGTGTGTGGAAATACGAACACCTCAGGTAACGCGCGCGCACACACACCCCTTGTGCAGACACAAACACCGACACAAAGGCACGCCTCCCCAAGCTAATTGTGGTTCTCTGCGTTTCAGGCAGTTCTGCCTGGAGCTGAACGGGCTGGCTGTCAAACTGCAGGTACTGTGCGCCCATGCACGCCCGTGTCTGTCTCTGTCCGCCGTGGTGTGTGTTCAGTGACTCCCTGCGCTTGTGAGCGCTCACCTGCGCTCTCTCCCCCCCCGCAGAGTGAGTGCCACCCGGACACCTGCACCCAGATGACGGCCACAGAGCAGTGGATCTTCCTGTGTGCCGCTCACAAGACCCCCAAAGAGGTGAGGTTGCCGGGCCGCCAGCTTCCCTGCCCCACTGTGCCGGCTCTGCCCACCTGAGGCCCGGGCAAAGCGAGGGATTTAGCTGCCTGGACACGGAGTGGATTATGGGGTTTCATCTGTGCGTGTTTAATAACCGCACGAGGACGTCTCCATGGGACGGTAGTTTGGGAAGTGTTTTCTGGGATGTAGCTCGAGACGACAAGTGGCTGAGGCGAAGGTTCAGGAACGGACAGGAATTCCTCCAGGATTCTCGTTTTCAGGTCTGAGTTCCTGGTTCCTAACTGAAACGAGATTTTCTGTAGTTGACGAAACTGACACAGCCTCACTGCTCTCTTGTGCGCACGTGCGTCGATGCCCCCAGCCCGTCGTCCTGAGCTCTGTCCAGTAAGCTGTCCAGCTCCCGATGATCAGATGAGTTTCTTATTGCATGACCTGGTGGTGACGTGTGTCAGTGCTGACCTGTCATGTCATGGACTGTTTTTCAGTGTCCGGCCATTGACTACACCAGGCACACGCTGGATGGAGCCGCCTGCCTGTTAAACAGCAACAAGTATTTCCCCAGCCGGTGAGTCCTTGCATCCGCTGACGTCCTCCCTCACATAGTGCACTGACGTCCACAGCGGCGTCACACTCCTGCTGATCCACACTGACGTCCACAGCGGC